TTTCTATACTAAATTTTATCATGTTCTAATTTCCAATCTTAATTCTAAATTTCATACCTAAATATCTAATTTTTAATCCTAATTTTATCAAGTTCTAATTTCCAATCCTAATTCTAAATTCCAAATAATTAGTACTACTTTTCACAATTAAAATGTTTTAAATATAAAATAATATTAAGTTTTAAAACTCTAACATGTTAATTAATAAAATTGCATGTTATTTAGATAAATTACACTCCAATGGAGTGTATTTCTTACAAATAAATATCTAAAAAAACATACTAGTCATTTACTAAATTAGTTATCAATGTATCATAGTGTAAGTATCCACTTAACTAACCCAAAAAACCATAGAAAATAGCAAACATTGGCAAAAACGATAGTGAACCAGCCGATTATGAAGAGAGTGTTTGTATTACACATTGTCTGGTTCAAATAGAATCACATAAAAAAATCATTATTTCCATAATTGAATGATTAAATTTGTAAGGTGAAAACTAATATTTCTCAAGTGAAAACTTACGTAGACACGACCAACCAAACCTTTTAATTTCCCACAAATTATTGTTCAAAGGATTAGTCACACCGTTAATATCGATCCAAAAAGTGAATACTGAGCAAGAAAACAAGAACAATTAAGATTGGGCTAATCTAAAATTAGGATTGGAAATTAGAACTTGATAAAATTAGGATTGGAAATTAGATATTTAGGTTTGGAATTTAGAATTAGGATTGGAAATTAGATATTTAGGTATGAAATTTAGAATTAAGATTGGAAATTAGAACTTGATAAAATTTAGTATATAAATATTTTATCATGATTATAATTAATATTATGGTTTAATATTATAAATTTTGGATTTATAATTTTTATATTTATCAAATTAATATTTAATTTTTAATTCTGATTCTAGATTTTTATTTAGAATTATGAGGTGAATTTATTATTATTTTTTAAAATAATTTGAATTAATTTGATGTTCGAGTTTAAATTGGCCAATGTTAAAAAATTAGGTCCAAAAAGTCCTGATGGCAATAGTTCTAGTCCAAAAAGATCGTTCTTTTTTTCTACGTGTCGTCTAGGTCACTGTTCTGTTAACGTTGACTAACGGTAACTTCGTCAAAGTCTAAATCAACAATAAAATCGTATGTTTAGGAATCGAATTTTAATTAATTTGTGGTTCGGATTTAAATTAGCTAATGTGCTTGATGGCAATAGTTTTGGTCCAAAAAGCCGTTTTTCTCTTATGGGCCCAATACAATGTGTATTAGTTAAATTAAATATCAATATATATATCTAAATCTTGGGCCGAAGTTGGATTTATGGGCGCAATACAATGTGTATTAGTTATTTACAGTTATGCCATTACCGTCTTCCTTGTATTTTTAGATTCGTTTTCCATTTTCACACACCAAACTCCGATCTTCCATTTTCGCTCCTTTCTGGATGATTCTTGAGTCAAACCCTATCTAGGGCTGATTTGAGGATTGTATATCGATTCTGATTTTGATCTTCAGATTGCCGTTTTTTCAAGCGTTGGATTTGGATTTCTCCGATTTTTTTTTCAGGAATCGCGTATATCTTAAAGAATCAAGGTAATTGATTAAGTTTTTGAGTTCGTTGAATATCTCAGTTTGTTCATGGGTTAGTCCAGATTGAATCTTTAGGAACCAATGGTTTTTGGTTGTAAATTTGGGAGCAATTTGATTCCTGTGTGTGAAATTGATCTCTTACAAAATTTATTGTGAACATAAACTGTTCGACGAAATGCCTGAACGAAGTTTTGGTATGTAGAATTCTTTGATTTATGCCTGTGTTACGCAAAATAAGTATGGTTATGTTTTGTGAGAATTTTGATTTCGGTATATCTGCCATATGAGATGCAATTAGGTGTTGGTTTATTCTCTGTTTGTGTACACTGCTTGACCTAAAGGTTGCTTTAAGTTCTGATTGATGACTCTTATTTGTCTCTGACCTACGCAGAATTTTGAAAGAAACTGTAATAAACATTCAATATGGTTCTTGAATTTATTTCTTATGGTTTTATATCACTCAGTTTTCAACTTGGTTCTTCAAATACCCTCAACGTTAGCAACTATGTGTAACAAATTTCCCTTGTGACTCTTGTTTTGTAATCTGAGCATAAAGGTTGGAGATTTTGATCTCCCAATGAACCAAGTCCATGTTTTTCTTTTCCTGTTGAGTTAGAATTGTCTGGAAATAGTTATCTGGAGCCATTGATAGCATTTTCTTGTAAGCCTTTCTTTATACTAGACATTAAGATCTCATGTTACTGGAAAAAGGTTGCTCATTGACGAAGACAATTCTTTATTCATTTATTATTTTGCGCTCTAACTGCTTGGTCTTCTACTTTTGAAAACATGTAATCCTTTTAGTTTTCCATGAGCTTTCACATTATATAATTGGCTTAACAAATTATATTTATGTACATTGCAGATTTTCTAGATTCTCCACAGTAATCGTTTGAGCTTATCAGTATACAGTATGGGAAACACTTCTGGCGATGACAAGATTCTCAGATTTGACGATGTTGTCCTCAGGAGATCAGATTTGGACATCCTTAATGGCCCAAATTTTCTAAACGATCGTGTTATCGAATTTTACCTAAGCTTCTTATCCACAGTCCACACTTCCCCTACCATCTCATTGATCCCTCCCTCCATTGCCTTCTGGATCTCAAACTGCCCTGACACTGAATCACTCAAAGATTTCATGAAACCCCTTGGATTGCATGACAAAGACCTCCTGATATTCCCTGTAAATGACAATCTGGATGTCGAGTTAGCAGAAGGCGGATTACATTGGAGCTTACTCGTGTACTACAGAGAAGCCAACTCGTTTTTCCATCACGATAGCTTAATGGGAATGAATAGCCGGAACGCGAAACAGCTTTTCAAGGCAGTTTCTCCATTCGTGTCTAACGGAGATGCAGCATACAGAGAATGCATTGATACGCCGCTGCAAAAGAATGGGTACGACTGTGGTGTTTTTGTTCTTGCAATCGCTCGGGTTATATGCCAATGGTTTAGCTCTGGGGCAGTGAAGAACCGGGATGAGCTATGGTTTACTGTTGTGAAGGAGACTGTACCAGATTTGGTTAACCATTTGAGAGAGGAGATATTGGGGCTGATCAAAAGCTTGATGTCTGAGAGTAAGTAAATAAGAGAATTTAGATATTCCGGTTGAATGATTTTAACTGTTTACCGGAACTAAAACTTTTGATAATGTCACCGGTTATGGAAATCAAATGTTCTGATGTACTTTTAACCGGTAACATCCAAAGACTATTTGATAACTGGTACTTAGTGAAATGTCTCTTTTTAAAAAACTAGAAGAAGAAAATATAGTCCAAAGTTTACAGAAAAAAGGTCAAAAAACTAATTCAAATACTTTGTACAGTACAAATGTCTCATTTACATAGAACAAATGTGAGCCGTCAGAGAGAAAAAAGTGATTTGAGTTTTCTCCCTCTCCGATATCCGGTGCTTTTACTGGTTTCGTGAGAGGGAGATTGTTATAACTTTATGTTCGATATGGAGTCTAAGGGATGTCCATGAGATTTTTTTTTATTGGAAGACGATGCGATGTTATTCACTGTCTGACTTTTGTAGATCTAGTTTGTGATTCCCTTCATTGGGGTTAGTTTGTGATTCCCTCA